CGTCAAAGGTGATCTGCTCTGTTCGGAAGTTGTTTGCATGGCCAAAAGTCACAGGAAGCGTGATCTTGCTCAATGGTTTGGACGACGACCGAGGAGAAATTCCATGAAAGGGTTGATCAGTGGGAGTCAACTCGCTTCGTGGGATCCCCATCGTGTCCAAGGTGTTGGCGAAGAGAAGGTTGATGGAGCTGCCGCCATCGATGAGAACTCATGCGACCTTGATATTCCGAATAGTGGGCTCGACCATGATCGGATATCGTCCTGGGGTGACAGCAGTCTTGGGGTGGTCTTCTTCTGAGAACTCGATCTTCTGCTCAGACCACTTCATCTTGGGTGCAGCCCCCTGCCATGTCGAACAAACTTCGCGCTCCACTTTCTTGTACTCTCGCTTCGAGGAGTACGCCGTGGAACCTCCGAAGATGTGCGAGACATGGAGATCGGAATCTGGGTATGCTGAGTCCGAGTCCTGAGTAGCTGCTTCAGCGGCCTTCTCGACTACACGTACTCGCTTGCCCTTCTCCAATGCCAGTTGCTTTGCGAGCGACTTTTTGAAGACGAAGCAATCCTCCAGAGAGTACCTGTCTGACTTGTGTATAGGGCACCATATTTTCTTCGTGTCGTTGCTCTGTGGGTCTAGGTGCTTGGGCGGGTCCGCGTATTCTGCTGCGATGACTTCCGTTTGAGCTTTCCTTTTCCCACTCTTGCGACTCTTCTTCTTGCTTGACTCAGGTGCGTCCTTGGCTGGTTTCTTCTCTCCCGCCGTCTTTGGCTTATCGTTCTTGCGTCTCAGTGCGTCGTCCGTGTGAGCGCATCGATCGACAATCTCGAATAGCTTTCGAGCAGTTGTGATCCGTGTTGTCGCCAACTCCTAGGTGGTGTAGCGATCTCTGACACCAGTTTTAAAAGCGTGGATCACGGAAGCATCGGTGATCTCGGGGATCGTATTTCTGCACTCATTGAAGCGCCGAATGTAGTCCCTCAATGATTCGCCCGGATTTTGTGTCAACGCATGTAGGTCGTCTTCGATCGCGTGGCACTTGTATGTTCCTTGGAAGTTAGCGACGAACTGTTGCCACAGATCTGCCCATGAAGAAATCGAGTATGGTGGGAGGTGGACTAGCCATGAACGTGCAGATCCTTTCAACGCCGCCGCAAATAATTTGCCAACGCATTGTTGTCTGCACCGGCAGCATAGAGTACTGTGGAGTAGACCTGAAGGAACTCCTCTCGGTCGGTTCTCCCATCGTACTTCTCTATTCTCCCGGTCGGAATCTCTCAGGCCATCGGACATCTCGTAGGGCACGACTAAAAGCTCTACATCCGCTGCCGGGGGCGGTGGGTTGTTGGTGATCGTATGTCCTCCATGGATGTCTGTCTGATGACGAGGATGATGACGATGATGATGAGTGACTTAGTTCCGGGGTACGATTACGAGGATGACGTCCGGGTTCTCGAGAATCCTATCGTCGCCCACCGTTGTTGTCCCGGCGCTGATCTCCATCATCATCATCGTTATGGCAGCGTCCTCGACCAGTATCGCCCGGCATCCGCTGTTCGCGATCGTCGCGATCGTGGCGGTTGTGGCGGTTACCACGGTCTTGGTTTTCGCTCGGGTGTCCTCCTCGCTCTTCGTTTTCACGACGTCGTGAAGAGACGCGATGTCGGGAACGATTTTCGTTGTCTCGTGCGCGTCATGCTTCTCGGCGGCCATTCAAATGTTCACGGAGATCACTGGTGCCACGAGGTGGAGTAGGGGCTTGACGAGGTGATGCCCGCTGCTCAGGTAGTTCGCCATTGGCACCGCCAGTTGGCGGTTGTTCTGGCAGTACTCCGGCGGCGGCCTCTTCGAACGCGTTACTGAGGTTAGCCACTGATTCCCATAGTCGTTCTGTCCACTGTGCGAGATCATCGTCCAGAATGGGATCATAAAGGGTTTCTCTCAGTATTGCGTTGATAGCCCTGATGTACTGGGCTGGTGTAACCACTTGATCCTCCACTTCTGCATTGGCGTGCACAGACGTGTTGGTCCCATCGATAGCAAACACATCGCGTGGTGTATTCGTCGATGATGAGGCCTGGTCTTCGAGCAAGTGTAGAACTGACGGCTCGTGGGGATCGATGTCGATTATCCCAACGAATCGATCTGAGATAACTGCTGCTCCTCATTCCTTGTGCGCATCTCTAAGAGAGATCTATGACTGCTGGACCTTAGGAGGTGACGTCCTCATGGCGCTGAGAAGAACCTTGCAGCTTGAGAGGTCGTGATTCTTTGTCTTGTGAATAGGACAATAGACATCACGGGTTGGAGAAGTACGTTGAATTCCACGCTTTTGCAGGCACGGATCTCAGCTTGTACGTCGAGAAAAACCCAGCAAGCTTGCAAGGTGTGCTTCCTGGTTTTGTGGATAGGACACCAAGACCTTGTTGCCTCAGAAGTGGTTCTTGTCGGCTCGTGATTCTCGTCGGAAGGACAAGATTTGGCCGCATTAGGATCCTTCTTGGGCTTGGATATCGTCGATGTTCCATTCTCCACTTCTGCAGAGCCATTCAGGGTTGTAACCATGGTGTTCTCGCTTCCGGTCATTGATGGACCAGTCGAGATCGGCACCGTGGTGTAAACCGGGAAGACGATTTCGCCGACTTGAGTCCACACCAGCATTGTTGAAGAAGAAACTCCTTGGTTAATGCCGGGGTTGACGCTGTTGTCGACGAAGCTTGATGACATAGTAGTAGAACCTTAAGCACCAAGTTCCCCTACCTGGCGCGCCACTGTCGACAGTGTATACCCGTAGACCGGATATAGAGGGTATTGGGGTACGCTGGTACGAGGATCTACGTAGTACGACATCAAGCAAACATGAAACAGTAATTATACTGGTTCAGGCCCCTTGATAGGTAATAGCCCTAATCCAGTTGGTATGGGATTATATGATGATAACCACATATTACAAAGGGAATAGCAAAACTCGATGATACCGACAAGACCATAGTCGAGTAGGTTCGATTAGATCACCCAACGATTTGGCTCCTGTAGGCTCCGACTTCGTAGGCTGTGGTGGATGTATTGGCGGTGAGATTCGATGCCTTAGGTCCTCCCGGGGGGTCCCTTTTATACCGCGGGTCAGTTGGTCTCCAAGTAGAACTCAGAGACATCGGACCCCACACGATACGGTAACGACCCAGTTCTGCCCGAGTAGGACTCCTTCCATCCGTGGACTCCGTTTTGGTTACATAATGAACTTCCTTAACGTGTACAGGAAACATCCGCACACGCGCAGGTATACCATATCAGTGTACAACGTATATCCAAGGGTAGAGAGTATACCTTATCCTTAACCCTAACACGCATGCACGCAACGGCATCTCCATCTTTGCAGGCGGTAGATCCACCCGCCTATGAAAATATTTTCAGAGAATAAAATAAATAAATACACTGCCACCACCCCTACCCGCCACCGTCGCCAGCGGCCTCCCCTTCCGGCCGACGACTCTCCTCCTCCATCCGCCGCTGCTAGCCGGCTCCCCTACTCCGTCCTGATCTGGGAGGGGTAGGGCCAGTGCTTTTTACGGTGGCCGCCGCCGTCGGCTGCTCCTCCACCCCATGCCCGCCGCCGGAGGACGGATCTGGGAGGAAGGGAGGGACGATTGGAGCACCGCCGCCATCTCCTCTCCTCATCACCGAGCCGGGAGAGGGAGGAGTCGAGTCACCGTCTCACCTCCTTGCCGCTGACCCGTCCCCACCGCCACAGCCACCGGCCCACCGCCGCTCTCGAGAGCTATAAGGGAGAGAGAGCTAAGGGAGAGAGAGAGAGGGAGGAAGAAGGGAATGAGGGAGGATGACATGTGGGTTCCGCAATATTTTTTTTAATGACATATGGGTCCCACATATTTTTTTATTTTGTTTTTTTTCTAATGCCACGTAAGCGCCACGTAGGTACCACGTCAGCCAAAACCACCTAGGGATATCAATTGAGATCCCCTACAGTACTGCACTGCATGTGCAGTACTGCAGGCTGACATGTGGGCCCGAGGGTTGTGGGGCCCATATGTCAGCCTACAGTACTGCACATGCAGTACTGCAGACGACCTGTGTCCCTAGGGATATTGTTTGCACCGGTTTTGATAATTGGAGGAGTCAATATATCCGGTTTTATGGTTGGAGGATATGAATCATACTCGAGCGATAGTTGAGGAAAAGTATACTTTTTCCTTGAAAGTCTTATGATCTAACGATGGTGCTCGTGGGCCGAGACCCCATTTTTGGCCCATGATTCACTGGTCCGGCCTTTTTTGGGGTCGCGCACAGCCAGCGACCGTGCAGCTTCTCGACTCTCGACCTTGCAGCTGCAGACCTCGTCGTCGTTCGCACCGGCTCCCCCCGCGCCGCGGCCGCCGATCGAAGAGGGCGCGGGCGCGGCGCATCTCGGGCGCCATCCGATCGAAGAGGGCGCGCGCGGGGGGCATCCACGCGCCTCTGCTGTTCCGTGCCCCGAGCCCCGAGGGTAGGTGCTCGCTCGACGCACGTTGACGGTGCGCCCTACATACGTTCGACGAAATGCCTGACCAACGCCTCTCTCCAATCTCCCATCATTTTGCCCGGCACAGACAGCACCCTTCTTGGCTAGCCTGGCAAATGGCCACACATAGGTAAGCCTCTGGTGATTCCTGGTAGGTATGCATCTTATCAGTAAGTCCAGTTTTGATACTTTGAGAAATTTTTTTCTTTTCGTTCGTGACGGATCCTTGAATAGTTGGATGGCTAGCAATATTTGCTCCTCATTCAGGATTACCAACTGGTCCAACCAAGGGAAACTCTGTACCCTCTCAATGCGGTCAGAGTGATTATAGCTATATAGTACTCCCTCCATTCCAAAATATAAGGTATAACCACCCCTAACCCAAAGACCAAAAAATAATTATTATCATCTTGTAGTTTGGATCATCCTAATAAATACAATGCATGCATCCAATAGAATTAGAGAATATGAGAGTGGAGGATTTTAAAAAGTAATAATTTAATGGAGAATGGGTCATAGTTAATTGCCTACATGCATGCATGCCTTATATTATGGAACATCTAAAAAAAGTGGTTGTGTCTTATATTATGGAATGGAGGGAGTATCTACACTTCATCGTCCAAATTAACACACTTAGATTTGACATTTGTGGATAATCAACTGGCTTGTGTTCCGCAAGCATGCCATCTGGATTCTGGAGATGGCAAGACAGGAATAGAACTTGCTCCTCTCCAATGCCTAGTGCTGAAGAGCAGGCATGTGTCTTGCTTGATGGGCGCACGGTGGCAGAGGTCGGAGCCTGGGGAAAACTCTTGTAGATTCATGATCAGAGCAGACTGGAGCTTGTGTGGCACACAGGCATGTTAGTATTCTGTCTAGTTTTTGCTAGGACTAGGGGCAGGATTTACATAATTTCCCCTGTGCTATGTGCTATTGCAAGGTACTACATATGTACTAATTAGGATTTAGGACTGCGATTCTACCTTCAAGTAGATATATTAATTTAGGTTTGTGTAGAGTAGTTTGTGCATGTGCTGGAAGTTCACTAGTCATATAGTGAAGAGAAAGACATAGCTAAAAGGAGCCACACATCCACTTTCCCATTGGGAACTAACAAATGCCTACTGTAGACAGCTGGATATATTGTTCTGATCGACCTGACAACTCTGACTACATTTAGAACATGGGCTCTCCTATACTTTATATAATTGGTATCAATCCGGAATATATTCCGGTCTGCAACCGCAAGCTACTAGCTTGGGTTGTCTGCTGCACGCAATTTGCAAAAGATAATAGGTAGTAAGATGTTCATCATGAGAGCCAAACGCATAGATTATATTCGAGTATTCCTAATGTGAAGTGCTATGTATTAATCCATTAAGCACCCATGTATTAGTTCTCTCCATTTTCCTTCTTAAAAGTACCCTTCTCTCCAGAGTAGACCATATCCAGTGCGCCATTTCATTATGCTGCATAGGATGCTCTGGTATTAGCATCCTTCTGATAAGATAAAACGATTATATTCTAATAAACACCCTTGCTGACAATGAAATACCATTGACTTCCGCGAAACTGCTTTGAAGAATACCAGCGGATGATCTAGACTCATGTTTTTTTTTAATATAGCTATATTTTTGTGTAAATATATATAATTAGAAAGGTAACAATCAGACACGTCTATTGTTGGAGTATATTATTGATTTAGTTTATTACTACAATTAGGGAGCCAAGACAATAACTACTTGGTTTCTCCCATCGAATCCATCTGCTTGGTTTCTCCCTTATGCTAAGGTTGCTGCTGTGCTGCTGTCGCTGCGGTCTTCGGTAGTCCATGAGACGATGGGGTTAGCTGGAGCTACGGTAGAAGCTGCAATTGGATGGCTTGTGGAAAGCATCCTCGGGAGTTTCTTCACTGAGCAGATGGAAGCCTGGATTCGTGGAGTTGAGCTTACCGAAGGTGTCAAGAAGCTTGAATTTGAGATGAGGAACGTGGAGATGGTGCTTGCTACTGCCGAGGGAAGGAGGATTGACAAGAAGCCACTTATCCAGTCGCTGGATGTTCTAAGGGAGTTGCTTTATGATGCAGAAGACGTTATGGATGAGCTTGACTACTACCGGCTACAACAACAGATTGAAAAAGGTTTGAGATATATAGCTGTCTTGTTCTATGATCTTCTCTTACTTGTATTGGTGTAGTTGAGAACATAGGAACCATATCTCAGTTTATATGTTGGTTAGTTCCGGTATATTTTTAATCCATGATTTAACCTCTGCTAGATTCACAGTTGCAAGAGTCCATCTAATTTTGCTTAAGAAGTTGGGCGACTTTCCTTTTCAGGTTCCCATAACAAACTGGGTTTCCTTTGCAGGCGAAGGTTGCAGTGCTGCTGCTGCTAATTATCCTGAGGCAAGCTATGCGTCTTCATCAACTCCATTTTCTCCTTATCAACTACTACACAGTGCCAGGAGCCAAATTACTGTTTGGGCCTCATATTGTAGAAAAAGGAAACAAGGAGAGGGAGACACAACTCATTGCACCATGCTGCCTCTTGAGATCAGACTTGATATTTCTAAGAGGATCAATGGAATAGTGAACGATTTACAGAAAGCTGGCAATTCTGTGAGGGGGATTCTTCTACCAGGTGTCTCACACCCAGCTTTAACATCAAATCAGAGGCAAAGCAAGATCAGGAACACACGCTTGACAACTTCTGTTCCTATTGAACTTAAGGTGTACGGGAGGGATGCGGACAGGGACAGGATAATAGAGATATTATTAAATGAGGAATCTAGTGATCTACGTGTTTTGCCAATAGTTGGCATTGGTGGTATTGGGAAGACAACACTCACTAGATTTATATACAGTGATCGAAGAATTATTGATCATTTTGATTTGCGAATTTGGATCTGTGTATCCACTTACTTCAATGAAGTGGACATAACACGTGAGATCTTAGAGCATATATTTGAAGATAAACAAGATAAACAGGAATTCAAAGATGTTAGCAATTTCAATGTACTACAGGAGATTCTTTTGAAGAATATTAGAGATAAAAGATTTCTTCTCGTATTGGATGATATGTGGAAGGAAAAAGACATGAGTGGATGGGATAAGCTGTTAGCTCCATTGAAACATAGTCAAGTAACCGGCTGTATGGTGCTAGCAACAACCCGAAAAAACTCAGTTGCAGAAATGATAGGAACAGTGAATGCATTCCAAATCAGTGGTCTGGATGAAAAGGAGTTTTGGCAGTTCTTCAAAGCATGTGCGTTTGGCAAGGAAAACTACGAGGGTGATCCTAGTTTGCAATCCATTGGGCGACAAATTGCTAAAGCACTAAAGGGCTGCCCACTAGCAGCACGAAGTGTTGGTGCACTTTTGAACAGAAATGTTAGCTATGAACATTGGAGGACAATTCGAGACAAATGGAAATCTCTTCAAATAAAAGATGATGATTTTATACCCATCCTGAAACTTAGCTATGATTATCTACCTTCTCACCTGCAGCGCTGTTTCTCCTACTGTTCTTTATTCCCAGAGGATCACCCGTTTAGTGCAGCAACTTTGGTTCAGGTTTGGATATCTCAAAATTTTGTGCAATGTGAAGATATAGGCAAGGGGTTGGAGGAGACAGGGTTGCAATAGCTAGGTAGTTTGGTGGATTTTGGATTTTTCCAAAAGGTTGACCGGCACTATGTTATGCATGATCTTATGCATGATTTAGCACAACAGGTTTCAGCAAAAGAATGTTATACGGTAAGAGGGTTGCAATCTAGCACAATTCGACAAGGTATTCGTCATTTGTCTATCATAACCACTGGTGATGATAATGATAAAAATACCAATTTTCCCACTGAGAAATATGAGATATTACAAAAGATTAGGCCTTTGCAAAAGTTGAGGAGCTTGATGCTTTTTGGAAGCAGCAGTGTATATCTATTGAAGTCCATACAAACTGTATGCAAGGAAGCCAAATGTTTACGGTTGTTAAGAGTTTGCGTCTTGAACGCTGACATCAGTGCTATACATACTTTCCTAAATCCTCATCATCTCCGCTATCTTGAATTTATTCGTGTCTCGGAGACTAAAGATATGTTGGTATATGGAGACTACAAGGATGCTGCTTTTCCTCGAGCTTTGACAAGTTTTTATCACCTTCAAGTGTTGGACGTGGGGTTCTCTGGAAATATTTCTGTGCCTGCTGCTATGAATAATCTAGTTAAGTTGCGCCATCTTATAGCTGATGCTAAAGTGCACTTTTCGATAGGTGGTGTGGGCAACATGATCTCTCTTCAAAAACTTAAGTTCAAGGTTCAAAATATTAGCGGTTTTGATATAAGACAGCTCCAATCCATGAATAAGCTTGTAACTCTTGTAATTTCTCATCTTGAAAATGTGAAGACTAAAGATGAAGCCAACGGGGCCAGACTTATAGATAAAGAGTATCTAAAAAAGTTGTTCTTGTCATGGAGTGTTGGCAGCATGAGCCTTGAACCTGAGAGGACAAAAGATGTGCTTGAGGGTCTTCAACCACATCATAACCTGAAAGCTCTGTGTATAGCTGGTTACACTGGTCCTACATCTCCAACATGGCTTTCTAGTAATCTCTCAGTGACATCACTGCAGACAATTCATCTTGTCAATTGCAGGGAGTGGCGAATTCTTGGATCTCTTGAAATGCTTCCAGTGCTTAGGGAATTGAAATTGGTTAAGATGTGGAATCTAGTGGAACTCTCAATTCCCTCTTTGGAGAAGTTGATTTTAATTGAGTTGCCGAAATTGGAGAAGTGCTTTGGTACTTATGGGACAGAATTGACTTCCCGTCTCAGAGTATTGAAGATCAAGGACTGCCCTCAATTGAATGAGTTCACTCCTTTCCAGAGCTTCTCTTCTTTCAGAACCGAGCAGAAGTCATGGTTTCCATCTCTAAACAAACTCACCATTGGGTGTTGTCCTCATATAAGGTATAGCAGTTGTTTCGTTGCTTTACCTTTTCCTGAACAGTTGTTATTTCAATTCTTTAATAACTTAGATTCTCTGTAAATGATATGGCAGCAAATGGGAAATACTTCCTCTGAGAGAGATGCAATCACTGAAGGAGTTGGAGTTAGTACACCTGCATGCAGTCAAAGAGTTGTTAGTCCTTCCACTGGAGAAGTTGGTTTTGATTAAGATGGCAAGCCTGGAATATTGCAGTGGGCTAACTTCTCCATCCCTGCAAATTTCCACTTCCTTAGGAGATCGAAATGAGTCGCTATCTGGTCTTCATGATCTCACAATTCATGATTGTCCTCGTTTGGTAGTTTCACATCCTCTCCCGTTTTCTGCTCAGATGCGGCGCTTCTCCATCAGCGGGATTCCAACTCTTCCAACAATGGAGTTAACATATGATTTGAAAATCAAATCTGAAGAGTTGGTTATGCTTGATGACAAGATCATATCATTCCATAACTTTGCGCGCATAAGATCATTCTGTCTAGTGGATTGCCCAAATTTAGTCTCTCTATCTACTGAAGGTCTCAATCAGTGCACAGTTTTAGAGAAATTGCATATAAAGAACTGCCCTAATTTGATCATTCCAAGCAGCTTTGTCGTCCCATCTCTCCAATTTATCTCCATTCAGGCATGTGGCATATCAGGGCATTGTTTAACAGAAATGCTTTCTCATGTGCAGTCCCTCCATAGTTTGGAATTACACGAGATCCCACAACTAAAATTTGTTTCGTTCAGTCATCAAGCTGCGGAGAAGGAAGGCATGAGCAGTTTGGAAGCTACAGCAGCAAGGCCCTTAGCCAGAGATGATAAACAGCTGTTGGAAATTCCATCTAATATCATCCATTCTCTAAGGTGGCTAGACATCTCCAACTGCCCAACTGGAGTTTGTTGCAGGGGAGAGAGTACTCCTAGGATACACCTCTCTTGAGCGTCTTCGAATTCAGCGTTGCCCCAAGCTGATGCCGTTGTTGGTCATGAGTGATAAGGTGGATGTTGCATTACTCCCACCATCTCTTGAGAACCTGGAGATTGATATGAGTCCTGAGCTCTCTGCTGCGTGGGATCTCAAACTGCAGGAGCATGGACAGATTATCCCACTGCAGCCTCATCCGTCACTCGAAGAACTCGATATCTCTAACCTCACAGACAAGGACCAGTCCCGTTTGCTGCAATTGTTCCCAACCATCACAGCACTGTACATTTGGCAGAGTCCAGAGCTGACATCTCTCCAGCTGGGATACTCCAAGGCACTGCGGGAGCTGAAGATTATAGACTGCGGCTCACTTGCTTCGATCGAGGGATTCGGCTCCTTAACAAACCTTAGGTCCCTGGCGGTATCCAACTCACCTGGAGTACCTGCATTCTTGGAGCTTCTGTCACATCAGCAACTGGCCTCTGCGGAGATCTTGTCCCGACTGGAAACCCTCCAGGTCGGCGATGGCTCCGTCCTCACCGTGCCTCTCTGCAGACGGCTCGCGTCTCTGCGACGGCTATCCTTCTGGTCATGGGATAGCAGGCGTGGCGAGACGATGATCGACCTGACGGAGGAACAGGAGAGGGCTCTCCAGCTCCTGGCCTCCCTCCATCGCCTCGATTTCTGGCACCTGCCGAATCTCCGTTCGCTTCCTGCAGGCCTACGACGGCTGGCCTCCCTCGAGTGGTTAGACGTCGAAGACTGCCCCGGCGTCGCGAGGCTCCCGGAGATGGGCCTTCCACCGTCGCTGACACGGCTGCATGTACGCCGTTGCAGCGAGGAGCTAAGTATGCAATGTAAAATGGCAGCAAGGGAGAATCTAGATGTCCATATTGATGATCTACCTGTTGACTATGTCATAATTTGAGGAAATTAGGGAATTTGGGGATTGAACTATATCTATTGAGTTAGCCCAAAGGTCATATATTGAGTAAAATAGAGATGGGAATTGCCAATATACCCATAAACACATAATGCTCTTAACAGACTACACTTGAGGAGGTATGCGGTTGGTGCAATTTGCCTTAACCCTCACCCTCCTCTTGCTTAAAGTAATCATTTGAATTTCCCTGCAGAGTGCAGACTGCATTCAAATTAACAAGATCTTGCACATTGTTGTTGTCTGTGCTGCACTTGCTTCCTTCAGCACAGATATACTTCTGGAGCCAATGTATACGGTTATATGGCCTTACAACAAAGACCACTATGTACGCATCAACTCATGACTGGTGACAAATGTTAACCCTTTGATTTCTGGAGAAAACTGCATAGAGTTCAATTGTGAATTTGTGACTGGTATAAAAAAAATTGTTTGCTTTGAGATCTATGCAGTTAATTTGGGTGAATTAATTAGTAAGCTTTTAGCCTTGGTTATTGTCATGGTGTTTGAGACAATCGTCCGTGTTGATGGTTATGTTGGACGTCATGTACAGACGAAAGCCAGTGTAATTGATTAGGGTAGCTAAAAACTGGAATTGATAGTGTTTACCATGTACTAGTATACTAGGAATTAAGTCTTGTGTTTTGAGTTTAATAATTCGGTTTGAATCTTAGCATCGGGCGAAGTTGGCCAACTGACTCTTGATGAATAGCTGTCTGATTTTAATTTGACGACAGGACTGAGAAAAGAGGCCATATTGCACGTACGGCTGATTTTAATTAGGGTTGTATGTTTTTTATGATTGGATGAGGACACTGATGAAATTCCCAATTATCCATATGATTGAATAGGGAATAATATTCCCATGAGAAAATAATGGAACGTCCAAGTGGCATACTTTATTAGCTTGGATATAAATTACTCCCTCCGTTTCAGATTATAAGATATTTTGACTAAGTTTATAGATAAATTAGTAATATTTACATCACCAAATTATTTTTATTAAATTAATAGTTAAATATATTTTTATAATAAATTTATCTTGGGTTGAAAATATTATTATTGTTTTCTATAAACTCAATCAAACTTAAAGCAGTTTAACTTTGACCAAAGTCAAAACATCTTATAAGTTGAAACGGAGGGAGTAGATTGTTCCTTCCCTTACAAGAAGTTATGGAAGTTTAAGATAACGGTAAACGTCAAAGTTTTCACCTACCAACAGTATAGACAGCTAGGTGTCGCTATTGTGCCTCCGATCTACCAAAGAAAGTTTGTGAAGGCCGGATCTCACCTCCGCAAGAAAAAGATACCATTAGTGAAAGGAATGTATTTGTGCAACCTCATGAGAATAGGATTAAAAAAGTCTCTGTTTTTGTGTGCTTCTCAACGAAAATTCCGTCAAGAATTTGAATTCCGGAAAATATATCGTCACATAAATCTTGGTGATATCCTCCTCCCTCTTTATCTTCTTGTTGCATTGCTTTGTTCTACGCTTGTGTAGTTGTTGTTTGAGCTCACCTCCTTGCTTGTGGTTTGGATCTAGAGCTTTGAAGTTGTTGCTTGTTTGCATTGTTTGCTGTGCAGTTCAAACAATAGGATCTACATATGACTATTCAAACAATCACTTCCTCATTTTTTATAATATCCTGTATATCTGTATAGTTTATTTTTACTTAGTTTATATTATTTTTCTTTTCTCTCCTTAAGTCATATCACGTCAATTATTTTAAGTTCTTAAATGATTAATCTATGGTTCAAATTATTTCTTATCTTTTCTTCTTCCCATTAAGTCATATCATCATAATTTTCTTATCCCTTAGATGTATGGTCTAAATTATCTTCTTTGCTATCTCATAGAGCCACATCATTTTACTTTTACATTTGAATTATTATTCCACATACTATTTAAATTTAAATCACATTAACTTATGTAAACTTATATTATATTGTTTAAGCTATCGTACGCATTATCGTATATGCTTATATAGTTCATCCCCACTAAGTGTAATTAATGCTATTTCTCTCTTCTCTCATGAAGCCACATTATTGCAATTATTTTTAGCTTTTGGATGATAGATATATGATAAAAAAAGTCTCCTCTCCTTCTCTCATAAAACCCTACAATCTCAATTGTTTTTATTCAAAATTCATAAGTATCAATTAAATAAAATATGTTCACTTTGCATTATGTTTACAATCATGTGTTAACTATATAAAACATAGGAAGTCATTTTATTTTGGTTTACAAAATATAATATAATTTATTTGTACACACTATACAACTTAATTTTCTACAGCAACACGATCTAGAGTTTTTACTTACTGCCGGCAGCAATGGGGACGGCGCGAGCAGCTAGCGCGCGCCCAGGCGCCGATTAGCGACCCCCCTCGGCGTCGCGCGTGCATCGTCCCCGGCGGCCTCGTTGTCGCACTCCCAATCTCCCATATATATTCTCCTTATTTTTCTCGAAACCGACACTCCGTCTCGGCTTCGCGTATCATTCTCGCCTTCTCGTCTCCTCGCGGGCAAGCGACGAGGGAGCCAGCGGCGACGGAGCTCAGGAGGGGGCCTGCGAATCCCTCGTCCTCGCGCGCGCATCGCTCGCGCGCCCTCGGCCTCCTCGCCCCCGTCCACGCGCGGCGCATCCCGACGCCATCTCCCCATCTCCGGTGTGCGCGCCGCTGCCGCCTTTTGGTTCTAGATCGATCGCTTTCACCAACCCGACGTCCCACCCCCCGGTAAGCGCATTCACCAGCGGCGGCGGTTGATCACTTGTTTAACTCCATCCTAGCAATCAGGCTAGGCACCGAAGCAATCAGCTGGACGCCGAATCTGGTAGCCCTGAAAGATGCATTTCGTTGGATTGCTTACTTTTCGTGTGATGCAGGTGTAGTTTAACGCTGCCCCCCCCCCCCCCCCCCCTCCCCCCGATTTAGTGGCATACGAAAAATGTGTGATTCTGTCACACAATTAATATAGTGTTGCAGATTTTCTGATCCAACAATTCAGAACCATAGCTAAAATATTGAATAATTTGGAACAGTTTGGTATGGTTGGATTGAATGGTTGAAAATGACCTTGAATGTTTTCCTTCTTTTTTTGTTTTTGAGCTTACCCCTTCCTTAATCTTCATGTTTGAATGCTATATTACTTTCACATGCGTAGCATCTGCATTTGAGTTCTCATCAATAGAATGACCTTTAATTATGGTATCTAGCAACTCAGTGCTTTAGGGTCAAGGGAGAGGGAGAGTATTTGAGTCACATATATATAGGTTTTGGTCCATTGGCTCTAATCTCATTTCGAGCAGAGATAGCTTCAGTTTTTCCAGCTTGCGATTTAGTGATGACAAGTAGCATAACAAAATGTGACCAACAATTTCCTCCATGCTTCAGTTCTGCAGGTTTCGATGAATGTTTTCCGCCCAGTGCTGACTTTCTTTGTTGTTGTTTTTTGTCACCAGTGATTTGATTTTTGCATGACAATCGTTGTCTTCTTATGTGCTGGTTCTGATGGAACCATTGAAGTTACAACCAAGGTTTTTTGGTATTGTTTGTACAGGTCATATAATATTCAATGCTGATTGTACCACCTCCTATTAGATGGCTTAATAGTTTTCCCTTTGGAAATTCCACTTGAGGCATGGGTCTTTCAAAGTTGTTCTGTGTAACTGAAAGCAGGTTGGGTGAAAGGAGCATCTATGATAATTTACATTAATGTGTTCCCTTTGGTGCAAGTCACCAGATGCTACATGACTGAGTGATTGAGTATACTGTAGTAGCTATCGCCCGTTGCTGGTGTCATATTATACGTTTCTGTTATAATTTACATTGATTTGTTTCCTTTGGTGCACGACAACAGCTGCTACATGACTAAGTGATTGAGTAGTAGCTATCACTCCTTGCTGGTGGCGTATTATACTTTTCTGCTAAATCTGAATTAACTAATCGATTAATCAACTGTGATTCTGTGACTCAGTGAATTAACTAATCGATTGATCAATTCCAAAGTTGGATGGTTCATCTCTGCTGGTCCTTTAATTGATCCATTTGCACTTGTGCGGTACAATGTGTACTATTAATTTGGTTTCATAAGTTGTTAAACATGTAGCCTGGCCCAAAGCCTACCATCTCTTGGGATTATGTAACACTGGCCTCAAATGTTACTACTGACCTTAATGTTTAGAACATCCCTATGCACATGTTGATTTTATGTATATGCAGGCCATCATAATCAAATAAGAGTCATCTAAACAATGACTGACTTAATATTCTATATTAAATTACCATCTAAACTCGTCAATGATTTCCTGCTGTACCTTATGTAAGAAAATAGTTATTGGTCGGGAAGAACATTAAGGTAGTAGTGATGTGTACGTTGCAAATTGATAGTTGTTTGGTGCTGATTGGTCATTCTAAGAAATTTCGGGAAGTACTGGACAATCACTTAAATTTTCTTATTGGGACCATAATGGTTGAATTGCACAATGATGAGATAACACCTGGATGAACTGTGTGATGAGCTTGCACTGCATTGTGGGACAATGGAACTAATACTTGTTTGCGTGTTTTTCTTGTTAGATGTTTATTTTGGGAACATATGTAATATTCACTGTATAATTATGTTACTTTTGACTGATTATTGGTTATTCTTGTATTCTATATTACATATGTGCTTGGGAAATACTTTTAAAATTCTCAGTTTGATTATTTGCATTTGGTTATTTTGTTCATGAGTAAGGCATACATCAGGATAGCAAAATTCACGATAAGATGTTGGAAAATGGACTAATTACTTAACTTTCTCTATCCAAGACCCATCAAGCATTGATAACTACAGGGCTTATTGAGATTCTTTCATGAATTCCGATGCATCCACTCTAGGTGGATAATCGAGAAATTCTATCGAGTGTTTTATCCCCAAGATGCCTTTTTTTCCTTTTCTTTTGGAGGCAATTTTGACCTTTTTGTTCAAAGAATCCTATGATTCTTCTATATGAACAAGCCAAATTAGAATACATTTCCAGTACGCATGGACTTTAACTTCGTATGATTATTAATTATCCTTTGTATGCTAAGTATGCATTTGGCTTTTGTTTAATCACATCATGACATTGCTAACATATATTCATTGTCTTTATTCATGTGTTGTTGACAGGACCCAACTCCTCCGGTTAAGCCCAATAATATCTTTTTGGATCACCAACCCTGTTCCCCAAAGCCCCTACCCCACCTGATACTTCATCCACTGGCCACATTGGCTCTGCTGACCTGAACCCTAGGTATCATCCAAAGGAGGGCTCAATATCACAAAAATGCAATATCTGTTTGTTTCCAATATGCAATATTTGAAAATGCAATACCTCCCAGTGCCAAGCAGGGTTAGTTTGGAGAATCCCCTTGCTGCACTTCTAGTACATGGCTAATACAACTAGAAGGGGTGGAAAGGGGATTCCCTATACTTAAGCTTACTCATGGTCTCCATATCTACTTCACTCTACTATCTTTCTACAAAGTTTATCTTCTTGTCTTAGACACCAACATTAACACATCTCACAAGTTTTTGGCTCATCTCACATGGCCCCTAGGGCAAAAGGGCGAGGGCTTCTACGAGGGGTAATCCTCGGGGTAGCCTTCGCCCATTTGTTGTCCATGTTAAAACAATAGCATTTTGTATCTGGAGTTCTGGATTTTTGCTCTGCTGTTACGCCGTTGCTACATACTGTGGGATTTTGGAGCAACTGAGCTCACCTCCATACACTTCATCTACACCATAGGTATGAGTTATCGTGAAAAGTGGAATCCAATCATCTCTAGGCTTCCACCCCTTACTTTACTGTGTTCTAATGTTGTGCTGTCTCTAGGTCTCCCAAATTATCCATGCTATTTGCTTTATGTTTATTATGTTTCTGTCATTTTTTTTATCAGGAATTAACAATGATGGAGCTTATCAACTTCAGTGATGAAGACTTACACAAGTTTACTAAAGGTTTCTCAGAGAAGAGGTTGCTTGGAAAACCAGGAGCCTTTGGGCAGGTTTACAAGGGCAGGAATAAAGGGAATAACTATGCAAATTGCCCTCGAAAAGTTGCTATCAAAATTTCTAAAAGGAAGGATGAGTATGTCCGGATTATGTGGAAGGTAATAATTGCCATGAAATTAATTGGTGCAGTAATGCATTTGCTGCATTATTATTCAAGCGTGTTTGGGTAGATTGTGCATATTTGAAAGATATATATATATATATATTGCCTGAATTCCATTATTATATAAGATGTGTCTAGGTAGCTTGTGGTTGTCTGTACACAGTAAAAGAAATTACCATTATTTGATTTAAAAATGATTAAGTTTCTGACCTGTCAATAAATTGTTGCACCCTGTTTTGTTGCAGCAAGAGATCAATGCCCTAAGTTCAATTTCACATGCAAATGTCATAAATCTTGTGGGTTTTGCTGACACAGAGGAGTACTATGCTCTAGTTTATGAAAGGGCTAAACAGGACCTCGAAGGATTCAGAGGTAAATAAATTTTACTGCTCTTTTTTTATTTTAGGGTTTCCAATCTAATCTTATTTTGATTGGTATTGATTTTGCTACTAACAGCATCCAATAAAGGTGAGTTGGATGCTATCTTGCTTGGAGTGGCATCTGGACTGGAAGCTATTCATTCTGCAGGCTTTGTCCATTGGGACATTCAGTTGAGGAATATTCTTTTGATGAAGGTGAAATTCTTGTTGTATTTACGAATAATTTAGAGTAAATTTCAAAAAAATATATATATATACTTTGACCAAACTATCAGAAAATTACAGCCTTAAGTCAATGTACTACGATAATACAGATTTAGTAACAAAAGTATCATAAAACTACAGATTTAGCACCAATTTAATCACAAAGACTACAATGTTTATAGCTCAAACATATCAGTCGTGCTAGGGATTTATACTCTAAAACCTATAGTTTCTTGATAACTTCAATATTAAATATGTAGTTTTGTTATACCTGGTCTTAAATATGTAGTTCTATGATAATTTTTTTGTGCTGAAGCTGCAGTTTGTGATACAACACCTTAAATATGTAGTTTGCAACAGTTTGGTTAAAGTATATTTACTTTTGTGAAATTCAGTCAATACTTTATTATTACGGGAAAAATGTGTTGCTGTTAGAGAACCATGTAATTGTCTACTTTGACTAATAAATGATAACAATTTCAGGATAATACAGTTAAAATTGCTGATTTTGGATTGGCCACAAGGAAGGGAGAGAAGATGAGTTTCTTCAAGGATAGAAGATTTGGCATCTTTAATGCAAATGATAAAGGTATGCTTTTTTTGTCTGAACTCTAATAAGACCAAGCAACATATATATTTTTTAGATGGTCTAAGTCATTATATGGTGCACTTCTGTGTGTGTGCGAGTGAAGGTTAACAGCCCTGAAGGGCCTTATATTAACTATGATCTTAACTTTGGATAGCCATAAAAGAAAATGCACCCATACTTCCCCCTAAACTATAATACTATGTCCTATATCTAAACCTAGTATGGCATTGGCATCATACATCAAGTTCAGAAGATAGTAAAGTTCATAATTGAAGAATTTCACAAGATAGAAGGGAGATGGATGTAAAAGGTTATTCAGTAGCATAATAGAGTTAGAGAAGTAGAAGGATCTAGCATCTTTACTAGATTTATCAGCTAGCTTTTTCAACTCACTTTTTATGGGAGGATATTCTTTTTCAAGATAATATGTCATGCATTTGCCTCAGACATCCAAAATAGTCCTTAGTTTCTATCTGAAAGTTTAAGATTGTTATTTTTGTTTTTAAGTGTAGATATATTCGTCAATGTTCATGCATTAGTTATATGAGTAACCAAGCAAAATAATAATAATAAAATAAGAATTTGTGTCTTCCTCTTCATGTAGAGCAGATTCATTGTTATCTCATAGAGCTAACAGAAGCGTGCAACTGTAAGTTGCTGGGTGCTGGTCCTATATTTCATTAAGACATGAAATGTCATCTTTCAATTCTCCAAACCATTTGTATTTGTATACTTAGATTTGTATTGCATCTATACTATTTTGTTATGTTCCAAAATATGTTCTTATTAAAACTAATGATCTGTGTACTTGAACAGAGAGTGCCCAGGAAAAAATTGGTGTCTTCTGTTTTGGAAATCTCATCAGAGAACTGGTTTTACTAGAAAGGAAAGAGTGGAGCCCCACGAAATGTCCCAGGATACTTTTGGCAGATACATGTATTGTTAACAATCCAGATGATCGTCCCTCAATGGCTACTTTGGTTTCAAAATTGAAGGTATTATGTGATTTGCTAGTTATTTCGTTTGAGAATAATGTGTCATAACAGTAATTTTTCGTGTACAGAAAATTCAAGAGGAAGAATCAGCAAAAGTTTGAGTGGTCACTTTTTTAAAGAGGAAGATATGTTCACACATAACAAAAGGCTAACAAAAGGCGGTTATGAAGGAATTGATCTTGTTTTGCGAGTCCCTGGAAGGTAGATTTACTTCTATCTCAAATATTTCAAAGTTCAAGTCAGCATTGGGTACATTTATTACTGTATGGTCTTTGAACATGCATAAATGAAAGAACACAAATTGAGATAATATCTAGTATAGTTATCACACTCTTCAGGAAAGATTTCTAAGTATATTAGCATGTTTAAAGTTCAAAATACAATGAGGAAGTTGTATTACTTGCAAAGTTCAATATTTTTGGTAACTTGGTCCGTTATTTGAATTTTTAACTTTTAGATCAGCCTTTAGCTTTAAACCCTTTAACTTGGTCCGTAATTAAGTGCAAATTCTTGAAGCATTCATAGATGTAGAGCATATTATAAGTTGTGCATTTGAAGAGGTGTCAAAAGTTGACTATATTTGTGCATGATAAAAAAATGACAAGTTTGTGTATATATATTTGGCAATATCAGTAATATACATTGCTTGTCTTCTTGTATTGCACATGTGATGGTGGTTTTGCACTTTTTTTGCGTCTATGCCCCTGCTATATAGTAGTGTGCTTCTTAAACTTGTGCTAATCCTGATGGGTGTAGTTGCATATCATAAGGGCAGAAAATCCCCTTTTTTATTTTGGAAACTTTGGTCTGCGTGGTTCTTTGTTCTCACAAAGATTGCCTTCTGTTTTTGACACATTTTTCCTTATTTTCATTTTTCAGGTTCCGTGTTCAGCTATGGTCAATTGGTTACTCAAGCTCGAAAAGTGTGCGTGTATATATAACAACATAGAACTAGAAAACGTGGACACCATTGAAGAGTATGATGTTGTCCTATACGCTCAACATACTACTAGAGTATAATGTGTCTAACAGAATTGAACATGCTCTCAAATCACTGAAGTTCGATCCACTTTCGGTATCAGCTGTTGATCCGAATTTGTATTCAATACGATTTAGACAATTTGTATTGGAGAAGCTTTTCCCTGAGCGAGACCGAACAGTAAATAGCGGCGATCCCACATGTGTAGATCTTGTAAAGAATTAGCATGTCCATTCGAATTGTTTGTACGCTCAACATGTTTGTTGTGAAGATCCAACGAATTTCTCGGTACAACTGCGTCTTTTTTTCACTCTAAAGTTGCAAAACGGTTCTAAATTTATGTGCTTCAAATTGCATATTATCCATGATGCATGTATAATGTAAAGACATTTCACAGCCTTCTCCATGGTATACAGCAACAGATTGTTATCAAGACGTCACATCCCGCAACAATCTGATTGATACCAGCGGGGAAAAACTTGAGTGTCACTGTACATAAGGAGAAAATTCAAGAATTACCATTGACAAACGTCTAGGGTTCCGTTAGCAACCCTCCGTTAAGTGCTATAGGATGAATAGTGTATTTAACGGCACGGAATGGACGGAACCCTAACGGCGATGGTATTTCTAGAAAAAAATCGTTTGTACAATGGCATTTTATAGAATTTATACTCGTCGATGGCATTTTTTTTTTTGGAATTGAGCACTTGTTAATGTCATTTCTTGGATTTTCTCCATACATGAGCGTCGGAAAAGGAAGGCGACTGAAGCGGATGTCGAATGTGTGAAACTTTCCCTTGTTCCTAGTCCATTTCACTACTAGAAAAATCGATTTTTCATGACGGTATCCTATTATTTTCGCTGGCGGTTATATGAGAAATCCGCTTGTGAAATTCTAACAAGGGGTGGAGGGTCGCTGGCGATTTCTTAAGAAATCCGCTTGAAAAAAAAACCTATTTTTACTTAGTGTGGATTTTCACTAGCGGTTGTTCAAAATACGCTTGCAAAAATAACCATATTTTTACTAGCGGGCCTCTTAACTAACCGTCAGAGAAAATCTCATTTTCGCTAGCGGTTACTAAAAACACCGCCCTTAAAAAAAAAACCGCGCGCGTCCACCCATTACAAAAAATCGCCGCCTACCAGCCACTCCTTATCCACTCCTTCTCTCCCCAACCTTATCTCCTCGTCTCCTCTCTATCGCCGCACGCGCTTCCTCCTCTCCGCTCCCACATCAGTCACCGCCGGTTTCGCTCCTCCTCCGGTTCGCTCCCACGCCCGCCACCGCCACCACCCGCCCTTCCTCCTCCGCTCTGCTCACACCTGCCGCCGCTACCGCGCGCATCTCCTTCCTCCAGATCCAGCCACCAGCATCCTCTCCTCCCTCCCCATACACAGGCGATGGCGGCTCGCGCAGGTGGTGGCAGCGGCTCCGGCAGTGGTGGTGGTGGCTCGCGCAGGTGGTGACCGTGATGGGAGGTGGGCGCGCGACTACGACGGGAGGCGGTCGTCGGGGGGTTCGGCGATGGCGACGGGATGAGTCGTCGGGGGACGCGGCGGCAACGGGACGGCAACGGTGACAGGGGCGCGGCGAGCTCCTCCTCCCCCTCCACCTCCCCCTCCCACGGTCCCGCTGGCGGCTGGGCTTCCCAGATCCGGTGCTGTGGGGCTTGGTGCGGCGGGAGGACCTCGGTGGCAGTGATGCTCGGCGATGGGGCTCCGGTGCTGCTCGGTCGGCGACGGCGACGACGACCTCCTTCCTCTCTCCTGTTGATGCTGTTTTTCTTTTTTTTTTTTCATGTTCAAAATGCTTGTATGCCGTGTTCACTTGCATGTTGATTGAATCTAATGAACTTTGGATGAGGATTTGAATCGATGCTCAAAAATTTGGATGTGGATTTGAATCTGTACATGCCGTGGAAAATCTGATTTATTTTCTCTTTTTCGCGAAAAGAGATTTTGGTGATTAATTTCTTTATGGAAAATCATTTTCACTGGCGGCCCGCCAGTGAAGACTATTTTTTTTGCTGGCGGAGCACATAAGTCAGCCGCCAGCGAAGACTATTCTCGCTGGCGGCCCACATACGAAAGCCGCCAGCGAAAACGATTTTTGCTAGTGGTTGTCTTTAACCAGCCACCAGCGAAAAGTTATCTTCTCTAGTGGTTTAGCGCTGTCAGCGGAGATGCTATATTTTCACTGGCCTTTGCTTTATGGCGGTGCCAAATACCGCCAGCGAAAACCCAAAATAGCCGTCATGAAAGATGGTTTTCGTAGTAGTGTTTGTCTCAAAATATAATAACTTGTACGCGATTAGTCACAATCTCCCTTTTTTTAGATAATAATACCAGCCTTTGCTCAACGAGCTACAGCCAATTATTATAAAATTCACAGCCAATTATTACAAAATTCACGCAAGAACAATCTCACCACACACTGATATAACATAAAGCAAACACAAACTATAGATACCACCACAAGATAAAGAACCCCACATTTACTAAATTCTATTTGTGAATCTCTAACCAAAGTTGATAAAAAGGTGCATAATCATGAACTCAAGTTTACGGCATGCATTATTTATTAGACACTATCTCGTACTACGAATTTGAACATGTCTTCTCCAATCTTCTGCGCGGCCATGTCCTCAGCATGTTCCTAATCGTCATTACGCACACTCAGCAACTCATCGAGTCTTTGGACCTATACTGCCCCTCAACGTTAGACATGTACTGTTCTTAGACTTGCTTTTGAAACCGACTCAGCTCAGCCGTGCGTACAGATTCCATTCTTGAAATGCCTGCAATATTCAGGATGGATGATGGTTTCAGAAAACTGGTTACAAAAAAAAAAAAAATTGGTTGCCCCAAAAATTGCATTAAGAAAAGGAAGTCCAGGAAGAGAAGTCGTGAGCATATGATGCAAATGGCAATACGTTAAGGATGAGTATAGTTTGCGTCGAACAGGAATGATCGATATGCTACCCCACACACCCACCTACACAAAAGAAAGCATTGACTACAATTGAGTAACATAATTTTCTTGTTGATGGTTCACCCTCTAACCGTCTCACTCACATCTAGGGCCCTACTCACATAAAAGGTCGTTATATTTTGGAACAGGAGGAGTAAAACTAGTTGAATGTTGTGGTGGAATGTTTCACTGCATTTTATTTTTATATTGCACCAATTTATTTTTAGAGATGTAGCACAATTTTCTTTTCAAAAATGTTCCACACCATTTTTTTTTTGTGATGTTCCGCAACTTATTAGTTGTAAATGTGGCAGGATTATACTATTTTAAGTAATATTTCACTATTATTTTTCACATGTGTTGCATTGAACCATTTTGACAATCTAGTGAAACATTTGATCATCCAAGTATCCAACTGTCTGACATTTTGGTCTAGATCAGACGTCTAATGCCTAATCGCATCCAAATTTCTTAGATTTTCTCAAAAGGGTGAAGTGCACTAGTGGTCTAATGGATTCCTAAACTCTTAAAATATATTTTCGAATCCTCAAACTTATCATATAGGTCTAAACAGGCTTTGACCCGCGGCATGCCATAGTAGCGCTTGCGTATCCAATGGGACCCACATGTCAGTCACATAGAAAAAAAAATAAAATTTAAAAAACATATTTTCTCCTCAATACCTTAGAATTATTTTTTTAGGTTTACCTTTTTCCCTCTTTACCTAAGAGGAGAAAATATGACTTTACTTATACTTATATTTATATATATATATATATATATATATATATATATATATGATAGACATATAGGTCCCACTAACACGTAGACAATAGACATCAGTATGGTGTGTCACATCCGTGCATAAAACAGGTCAGAGCTCGTTTGGGCCTACATGACACCCAAAACAAGTTTGATACCCAAAATATATTTTGAGAGTTCAGATTCGAATGACACATCCGCACAAGTTGACCACCCATATACTTCCCTCTTATCAAAATTATACGGCAGTAGAAGCCCGGACCCAAGAAAAGAAAAAAGAAAAAGACAGAAACAAAACCATGTCGATGACATTTACTTTACACGGGTTAATAATATACATTGCTACATTGCTTAGTCACTAATTTGCGACCTAAAGCTATATGTTAATGTCAAGGCTACCTGTCAAGTGCCACCCTACTGCTGCGGGACCTTCATGACATGATATGCATATATCGACCAGACAAGAATCAAGCCTGAGATAGCAGTTAAGGTCAACATCTCCATCCACGTTTTACCCCTGTTGAGCAGCCTCCTGCACCTCTCCATCCACTCGGTCCAACCAGTGAACAGCCTCCTGCAGGTTATCCCAAATATGTTGAACTTTGCAAGGTTACACAGGTCACCTGCCAAAGAACGTGACAACTAGATTAGACTAAATTGAACTCTTGACAGATATGCAACTCCCAAATTTCACTACTACGATTGTAAAAGGTGAGCATGCTTGAGTGCTTGACAATAAGGCTTCACTACTGTGCATTCAGATGAAGCAGTGAAAGACAATATATCAAGTTTTTAGGTTCATGCAGTGATGCACCAACTTCAAAAGATGTAAATAAAAAAAATCAAATAAAATATCCTCCGATACATACAGATCAACATGAGGCTCAAAAGCAAGACAAAGTTGTAGAGCCAGATAAATCCTGCCCAGCCCCAGCCAATGCCCTTTGGTAGAGGAGAGTTCACGTCACCATAAACAGCAATGACGGTTGCCACCTGAAAATAAGTTTGTTCAGTAACCCATGCATGTATTGAGCTTAAAAATTAAGCTTGGCATGATACTTTACTACAGCTGCAAGCAATAATCAAATACTTTGTACACAAAGAGAAATGGTTATATGGTTATTTGTTCATGTCAAGTGGTTTGATCAGTGACCAGACTATGTTATGTCCACATCACAAATCTGTTTCAGAAACATAATTTGCCTCTGATTATAGTATCAGTGTTACTGAGCCAATTTAGGACTGAGGACACAGGAACAAGAATATTGCAAGTTCATTGTACTCGAGAATTGGCAGGTGGTTGTCTAAATCAATTGCAATAAAAGCCACATATCACATTGGGGTGGAAATTGAGCAGGGGAATAACTCACCAGTTGAGATAGAACAGAAGAAATTGTAACAATAGGCCCAGAGCAGTGGCCATCGCGTGAATGTGCGAAAAGTCCAATAGCATGGTTAACAATGCTCATTTGAAGGAATAAGGCAGATTTAATCTCCTCATCATGGCCAACAAGCAATCTAGCTTTGATTATGTGCTGTCAAATACTGTTAATTAGGTTTGGTACTAGAAAATCACACAAATAATAAGGGTGACAAGTTCTTACAGATATGAAGTCAGTCCTAGTAGTCATTATGAAAAAAACGACTGTACTCAGGGCAATATAGCTTCCAAAAGCAGCACCAGTTGCGATAATCTTGTTTGCTTTCAAACTATCTGGTGACTGGGATGGTTTCACCCTTTCAAATAACATTGCAGTTGATGTGCCTGGGAATTACAATAAAAGGCAGATAGTAAATCATGAAACAAACAACAAAGTATTATATATTGCAAATTTATGGCTACAACAACATTACGAAGTTACAAACTCACAGTAGTTGCAAGCAGCAATCACCAGCATCGGGAAACAGGGTAGCTCGAGTCTCCATAGGAGTAAAATAAGACGGACAGCAAACTTTAACAGATAAACAAATTTATTAGCATCAGAAGTTTATATTAGTCAATTTTGAAAAGTATAAAAGGAAATTATAATTCTATATGTCTACTCACAGCATGGACAGTTGATGAAACAGCATAAACCTGCAATTGAAGCACATATTAGTCACATACAAAAACCTAAAAATCATCTGCGAACAGAGGAATTGCGAATGGACATGTGTGACTTACCATGCATCCTTTCATGATCTGACAAATTTCCCTACTGGCTTGAACAGCAGAAGAAACAGACAGCAAGGCATGCTCAGTCAAAACAATATCAGATTCACTTTTGGTGCTATCAGTGGCATCGGCAACTGCGATTCCAATATCGCTTTCACGGATAGAATCAACATCCGAAAATTCATATCCAACCATTGCACTACGACGACCAAAATAAGTTCTCAGATTTGATATAACATAACGGTTATATTCTGCAATAACAAATTGAAAGAGCAACTCAGTAAGCAAAAAATTCACAAAAAGTGACATATGTAGCAATAATCAACATAACTATCAAGGCAAGAAGCAGACCTACAAAGAGATCAGAAATCCCATTGATATTCAAGAAAAGCTCATTTTTGCTGCTTACCAACTCCCGCATAGAGTCAGCATGTAACACATTTAAGCCCAGTTTTCCAAGTCTTCCACATACGTGCTTTGTAATTGTCATTGGGCTTTCTGAAATAGCAAAACAAACGTGAGAACACTTAGATAAAATGCAGATAAAAAATGACATGAAAATCAAGATAAACATAGGAGACATTGCAAAGATCACCTGTAAGTACTATTACACTCAGACCCATATCAGTAAGATTATCAACAGCTTCTGCACTATCGCTTCTGAGATCATCTATGAAAGGTAGAAGAATAATGATGTCCAACCGAGAGTTAACAATACGTCCAACAGCAATACATTGATATCCATCAAGACCGAGCTTATCAATACGTTTGCGTATATGCTCTCTGACTTCTTCGCTACAACTGCAGTCACGAAGCATCTGTGCCAAGAAAAGAAGATAATTGAGATGAATACATCTATGTTATTCCTTTGCTTCCACAAGCTCAGCCAAAATCCACTCAGCCCAGCAACCTTGCAGTGGGCTTGCGTTTATGCTTTCTCATAGAATGAGCTGGGAGGTGCTATGATTTGGGTCAACATGTCTTATAAGCTAGTGTGAGGAAATGTAAACAAGTAATGCATGTGGTACTAAAGGAGGGGCAGTTTCATTGGATTTGCTGACAGTGGATTGGTTGCTTACCAATGCAGGGTCACCTTTGAGCACAGAACACTTGGAGCCATTTTCATCGATGTAAGTAGTCATGTACATCAATGTCATTGCAACAAACATACGGGAGCGGTGCTCTATAACATTAATGCCAACTCGTGCCTGCATCAATTGGTTTGTTAAGCCTTCTGGAAAAAGAACAAGAAGGAAAAGCACATAGATCCTAATAAGAAGGTACCTGTTCTGGATCATCCATAAGGCCTAGAATGGCTGCATCAATCGGTTCTTTATACAGTTCATTGTGTGCTTTGGAAGCCCGCGCAGCCAACAGGACAGCATGATCTTTATCAATACCTTCTGTAAGCACTTCAATCTTGTCCTTGTCAAAATAGGGCTTGTTGCATGTCAAAGTGCCAGTCATGTTGAAGAGCATAGCATCCATGCTAGCCAAGTCTTCAAGAGCAAAAGTTCCCCGGCTGGCAACCCCCAATTTGGAAAGCCTCTGAGAGTCCAATGCCAATGCCAGGTAGAGCACAGCAGGAATCGACATTGGTATTAGACCAATAAGTGGCATAAAGTGGCCACTGTGCAGCGTGCCTATGCTTTGATGGAAAAAGAATTTAACAAGAGCCTCACTTGTGATGCCAACAAGTACTAAGCAGAAGCAAAAAGTGGCAGCAGCCATGACACCCTTCCTAAGCTGCCCAGGCCGAGAGAATCGTTTTGGATAAAGCTGTTTCAGAGTGCTCATGGGGATGTTATTGCCTGTCACAGTAACAACAGCAGTCCCTTCGCCACAGGAGACAGCCCAGCCATAGTATATAAGGGAGCCCATCACATAGTTAACACTCCTTTCATGACGGATGGTTTTGGTGTCGATCTGTGCCATGTTGAGGACAAAAGCATTGGCTGGCACAATATCACCACACTTGAGATATATGATATCCCCAGGGACAAGATTGGTCGCATCCTCATGTTTCCATATTCCATCCCTCAGAACCTTGGTCCTTCGCGCAAAAGCTTTAGCTTCCAGCGGTGCCTTAGCACGATTGGCAAGGAGCTTGGCAACACAGCATGCACACAGGCTTCCCACAAGTAAGGAGACGATAACGATCAGTTCATAGGTTGTCTGACCAGCTGAGTTAAGGGCAAGGGACACAAGTGCAGCCGCCAATGCCGCCCATGACGAGAAATTGATGAACATGACACATAACATCTCCCTGGAGCAGGGGAAGATAAGATGCTCCCATGACTCCCATCCAATCTCGTATTTAATGTACTCGGTGAAGGAGTGATCCCATCCCCAGAGCAGGACGATGCACTTTAGTGTAGCAAGAAGCTTGCCACCCACCTGAAGCACAATGTTGAAGGCCACCAACATCAAACTGCTAATGTATGTAACCTTTATTAAAAATTTCAAAAAAAAAAATCTTTTCTCACTTTTTTTTCTCTCACAGGACATCATACGACTCCATCGTTTCGCTTATTGACGGAATAAGCGAAACGGCATATTTGCAAACCGAAAATATACTAAGATGAAAAACCTCAAAATCAATTCCAAATTTAAGGTTGAAAATTCAAATTTTAGCTTATAAGCATAAGCATAAGCTAAAAGATGAGGCTTATAGTTCAATACACAAGCTCAAAAGGCATTCGATTCATTGCTTGCTAGAGTTTCGACATGATGGAGGGCATATACTCGCCAATTGAAGTCAAGAGATAGTGAAACATACAGCAGATGCAAAGCCACACACATACTGCAACAGTATAGAATGATTGTGAGGCGTTAGTGAGCGCAATCCCCACGAAAGTCGTCGAAATCAATTAGGGCAAAAGAAAAGAAACAGGGAGGGGGAGGGAAGGAGGAACAAAGCGAACCTGGGGGTGATGGGCGACCACGAGGTTAGGCCCGTACAGCTTGAGGCGGCGCGCCGCCTCCTCCTCCGTCAGCCCAGTCGCCTCGTCGGTGCCGAGACGGGCCACGACGTCCTCCGCCTCCGCCGCCGCCGCAGGCTCGCGTGACATGGGGGGTTTAAGAGGGTTTATTCAAGGCACAGAGAGAGAATCTTCCGGATCTACAGGAGAAGAATTGCTAGGGTTAGCGCGGATTCGAGAAGTGTCGCCGGAGAGGAGGAGGGAGATGGATGCTCACCGTCACCGGCGAGCGAGGATGCGGCGGCGCGGGAGCAGCAACGCCGGCGACGCCGCTGCTCTGCTCTGCTCGAGGAGACGCAGCGGAGGCAAAAGGAAGTCGGATGCCAGTTTTATACGCTGGGTTTTCTTTTCTTTCCTCGATTACGCTGGCGGTTGTTTGGTAGCTTGATGGACGGAGATGGAGAGTTTAAAGGGAATTAATGATGAGTTTAATATGGGAATTTGATTTTTAATTCTAATATCTTATTTAGTAGAGGAGATGAAAATTGATAGGGAGTTTAGTTGAAGATTAGGTCATTAATAAAAACAGATGGCTGAGATTTGGTTAGATAAAGGAGGAATTGCCTTCCAATTACCTGCCCCTATCGGTATTGAAAAGGAGGGAGTTCCTTCCTCAATTCCCCATCCTATCCCCACTAAAATTCCCATGTATCCTAATCATCCCTCTAAACTCATAATCCCTTCTAAACACTACCTCCAACCAAACAGGCGGTGGGAGTTTTTTCATTTTTTTTTTGTTTGGGCTGAGTCTGGACTCTGGACTGGACCACTATTGCCCAACCTCACGTCGGTGCAACCCAGCCCATCTGCATAATCACACCCGTCGGTGCAACCTAACCCATCTGCATAATCACACCCGTGAGAAAGGGAAATTTAAATATTTGCTACTACTATATACTCTCTCCTCTCCAGATTCGATGTAATATAGAATGTTTCATTTAATACTAGATTGCTATATTATATGACGGACGAAGTATTAGGTTCGACAATAGTCCAAATATGCTTCTTAGCTTTGCAATTATTTTGATGGTTTCTTATCTCTTTGTCAATTTTGCCTACGTGGCAACACAAGGTGAAAAATCGGTGTGGGATCCATTGGTCGTTGTCTTTCCTCTGTCAGCCTTCTCCCTCACTGCCACCACCACGGGCCACGGCTAGGCCCTCTCTGCTGCGAGGGTGAGCATAAGGGTAGGCATCCATCGCCGCAGTGTTTGACTGCCCTCCTCGTTGGCGGCTCGCACGACAATAATGGCAGCATGCTCGGTCTTCCAGTGCAACTGAATCACGAGTCATTTGATTCTCTTTTTTTTAATGATAATTGTAGCTTCTCGCAGAATCAAAAGCACCTCCTCATCCATATTATGAGAACAGGATAAAAAATAAATTAGAAACAGAAAACTCTAAATTCTTATAAGCTCGCTAACAATTCCTCGTAATCTTAAACTCCCATATTGAACCAAAGGCCGTCCAATATGCACCACGAGTTGTGGAAAAGTTCACCTTAGGTCCCTTATTTGTCCGTGAGTTCCAAAGTCTTCTCTGAACCTAAAAATATAATCCATCCGCTAACTTTTAAAATTGGGTCATTTTGAGTTCTAAGGTACTTTGTTCCCGGTTTTAGCTGACGTGATGGCTGAGTCAGCGTGAGACCTACATTTTCAGTGCATTTTAAATGAAAAAATAAAAATTAGTGAACACCACATGTCAATATGACACAAACTCTCCTACTTCTCCCTTTGTTTCACTTTCCCCTTTCCCTTTTCAATGCTGCAGAGAGGTAGCCCCGGCAGGAGTGGAGGAGGCCCACAGGCGGTGAGGCGCCACCACCCTCATCGATGACATGGAGAGCACGACTCCAGAGAGCGAGGTTGATGCGGGCGAAGCGGCGCCTGTCCCCGGCGTGAAAAGAAGCCATTCCCTAGATGGACTTGTCATTCTCCCACGCTAGTGACAAGGACGATGGCGTAGGCGGAGGCGCCATTGACACAGCAGCCAGGGTGGGCGCGTGGCGAAGCAGGAATCTTGCATGGAAAAGGTGCCCAACATTGACGGACTTGCTGGTGGGGATGGTTGCGTGTGATGGCGCGGTGCTCGAAGAAGTTGCCCGTGAGGCCGAAGCAGCCAAGGCCGCCATGGATCGCGGCACTGCGGAGCCATCGTAGGCGGAACGGACGAGATACCAAGACACTGAGAAGCCATAGTAGCAATAGTGGGATCTCGCTCTCACATCACATCCTGCTCGATGAGCAGGCGACACGGCATCAGATGCTCGATCTCATGTGTAGGCCGCCGAATCCCCCGCCACCGTCCTCACCGCCACATCCCAGCCACTGTCCTTGTCGCCGCATCTCAAGAGGCCACCGTATCCCCCGTCACCTGTCCCTGCTACCGCATCCCAAGCACCTCGGCTTGAGGGTGTCCTGGAGTGGAAGATCCGGTGCTGGATCCACGTGGCATCTTTGTGAGCGAACGCTGCCTCTGCTTCCTCATCTTTGATCGGCTCAGCATCGTTGTCTTCGCCAGCGAGCACCGCTGCCGCCAGTGAGTGCCACTGCCGACCGCTGCACGCCTCTCCCGCCGAGCGCCACCCTCCTCCGGTTATCTCCTTCGGTCGCTGGCCACCTGGAATCTTGGATTGAGATGGGAAGAGAGGGGATAGAGGTGGAAGATTGAGGTGCTAACATGTGGGAGCCACATAGGTCTCACGCTGACTCAACCGTCACGCTAGCCAAAATTAACCGGGAACAATACCGTCTTAGTATCTAAAGTGATCCAGTTTTGTAAGTTAAGGGATAAGTTGTGTCTAATTTTTTAGTTCATGGACGATCTTGTAACTCGGCGACGACATGAGAGACCTCTAGTGAACTTTTTCCTACGCTTGTACATGGATACGCTCGGCCCAGCCAAAGCAGCGGGCATGTGCATAGATGTCTACCCGGGCCGGGCCTGCGAACCCCGAGGCCGAATTCCCTTTTATATCTTTTTGGAATAAGTTCACCGGAGGTCCCTCAACTTAACAGCGGGATTTTTTTGAGGTCCCTCAACCAGAAATGTTCGGCCCTAAACTCATTTAAACCGTTCACAGAAGGTCCCTTGGAAGTATAGGTGGGTGGTTTCGCTTACGTGGCATCCTAGTCAGCAAAAAAAAAAATAAAAAAATTTCATGGGGCCCACATGTCAGCTGCACTTTATTTTTTCTTCTCTTTTCTCTCCTCTTCTCTTTCCTCTCCTCCCTCTTTGCCGGCGGCGGGCGGCGATGGGCGAGCGCACGACTGGAGTAGGTGGAGGGGCGGCGTCAGCGCGCTAGAGCAGGCGGAGCGGCGGTGTCTCTGGGTGAGTGCGGCTGCGGCGACGGCAAGCGGCGGGTGAGCGTGATGGCGGGCAAGCGGCGGCTCCGAGTGTGGGCGGTGTGCGGCCGGAGCAGGTGGAGCGGCGGCGAGGTGTCGCCTCTTTCCCCCTCTCCCGTCGGCCTCATCTCCCCTAACTTTGTCCGCTCCCGCCGTTGCGGCGCGCCACCACGCCGGGCTCCTCCGATAAGTGCGACAGCGGCGGCGGGAACCAGCGGCAAGAACAACGTGCTCATTCGCTCTGTCCGCTTTGCGCGCCGCTCTCGCCACTGCCGACGACGCGAATGGCGGAGTAGGCCGCCACGCTCCTCCTTCGGCCACCTCCGCCATTGCGGCCCCTCATCCGCCTGAAGTGCTCATCTGCTCGCCCGACGCCCGCCGTCCGCTTTGCCCGCCGCCGTCCAACGCCGCTCCGCGTGCCGCCGCGCCGCCCGCCTCCGTTCTGCCCACAGACCCCGCTCGGTGGACAGCGGGCTCAAGGATGACCTCGTGTTCGGGGACCCTAACGCGCCGCGGTTCCGCCGCCACCTCCGGATCCCGCCCCCACCTCCCACCGCGGTTGCCCGCAGTCCGCCGCTGCTCTTGCCAGCCGTCGCCCCGCTCCTGCCTGCTTCGCCTACCGCGGCCACGCTCGCTCTCCGTCTCCGCTGCTGCTCTCGCTGGCCGTCGCCCTGCTCCTGCCTGCTTCGCCTGCCGCGGCTGCGCTCACCTTCCGCCGCCGCCGCCGCCGCTCTCGCCGGCCGTCACCCTGCCCGTCTCGGCTTGTCGAAGAAGACGAGAGGAGAGAAGAAAGGGGAAAAAGGAAGGGATGTGGGCCCGCACCGTTTTCTCACTTACATGTGGTCCCCACGTACTTTATTTATTTATTTTTGCTTACTAGGATACCACGTCAGCAAAACCACCCACCTATACTGCCAAGGGACCTCATGTGAACGGTTTGAATGAATTTAGGGGCGAACATTTCTGGTTTTGTGGTTGAGAGACCTCAAAAAATCTCGCAGTTAAGTTGAGGGACCTCCGGTGAACTTATTCCTATCTTTTTCGCTTGAAACGGACATTGCTCTCGGCGCGCGTATCATCATCGGGCTCCAGTGCTCCAAGGCCCGGCCACGCGTGCATCCCAACGCCATCTCCCGTGCGCGCGCGCGTCGTCGCAGCAGCCTTTGGTTCTGGATCGCTTGCCGACGTCCCGTCCCCGGTAAGTACCTGCACCACCGGTGATTGATCACTTGTTTAACTCGATCCTAGCAATCAGGCTAGGCACCGAAGCAGTCAACTGGACACCGAATTTGTTGCCCTTTTGTTTTTTTTTTAATTGACGCACACCAAATGTTCGATCTTTTGCCAAAGAGTAGTTAACAGGTAACCCTGAAAGAGGCATTTCGTTGGATTGCAAACAGCTGCAACATGACTAAGTGATTGATTAATTAGTAGCTATCACTCCTTCCTGGTGTAGTGGTGTCATATTATACTTTTCTGCTAAATCTGGTTCTGTGACTCATTGAATTAACTAATCATTGATCAATTCCAAAGTTGGATGGTTCATCGATCTCTGCTGGTCCTTAAATTGGTCCATTTGGATTTGTGCGGTACAATCTGTACTGTTAATTTTGGTTTCATAAGTTGTTAAACATGTAGCATGGCCCAAAGCCTATCATCTCTTAGGATTATGTAACACTAGCCTCAAATGTATACGGGGGCCATCATAATCAAACAAGGCCAACTACACAACGATTGACTTAAATGTTCACTTAATATTCTATACTACATTGCCATCTAAACTCGTTAATGGTTGACATTGCTGCACCTTAATTATGCAAGAAAATAGCTATGAAATTGGGAAGAACATTAAGGTAGTAGTGATGTGCACATTGCAAATGGATAGTTGGTATGGTGCTGATTGGTTAATTTAAGAAATTTCCGGAACTACTGGATAATCACTTAATTTTTCTTATTGAGACCAGATTGGTGGAATTGCACAATGAAGGAGATAGTACATGGCTGAACTTTGTGATGGTCTTGTATGCATTGTGGGATGATAGGACAAAGCTAGTGCCTTGTCACGGATGACCACATATGTGATAGGTTGAACTGGATGTTGTTACAGATGAGGCCTTGGGCCGAGGCCCATCGTAGGTGACTCCCTACCTAAAATGTGCACCCAACAAAAGGTCCTTTGTAAGGCGTACATGGTGCCCATTACAAGATGACTTTTCACCTGTGACAGGTACCAAGGTAGCTAGCAACCCATTAAAGATGACTAATACTCATTTCAGACCGATTTATCCACTTACCCATTAGAGGTGTCTTACCCCCTATATATACCTCTATCATATAACTGTTTGTCATTCCAACCCTCTGCATTGTTCACATTTTAGGTGCAAGGACTATGGGGCGTTTCTTCGTTGAAAATTTGGAGGTATAAAGAAAAAGATACCTTTGATAATTGCTATCTTGTCTTATACTTTTATAATGTATTTTGTATTTTTCTGATAATTACTATCTTATTAATTGTAGATGGATTGAAGTTGGATATACGTGTATTTCTCGTTGGAGCCCAAAAGTATAGGAATAATGGGGTTGCTGAATTCCTGAATGTCGCGGAGAATGATAAGAGAACTAGAATGAGTGAATATTATGGGCCTCCTATTTTTAACATGGGAAACTCTACATGTTACAACACCATTCTCTGTAATAATAGATGATAAACATGGGCAGATTACAGTATAATGGCCAGCGTCAGGCGATACTGATGACTTTCGGCTAAAACTATAGCGAAACTGCTTATCCATATATTAGAACACCATGATCTAAGTATAATTAGCATATTATGACACCGATAGACACGTTATGACACCAACAAATCGATTTTCTAGATCCATCACTGATGGTAAACATATGATTGACTGCATGTAAAATATAGTTGCATATCATATACTTCATCCGTTTAACAATGTAAGTCATTCTAGCATTTCCCACATTCATATTGATGTTAATGAATCTAGATAGATATATATGTCTAGATTCATTAACATCAATATCAATATAGAAAATGATAGAATGACTTACATTGTGAAATGGAGGGAGTAGCTGACATTGTTATAAAGGTACATATTGTAAATATTCTCTATAATTTTAGCATGGAAAATATTAAGGCCGTATATATTGTATATGACAATAGACTGCATGTAAATATAGTTGCAGTCAATTGTCACGTACAATATATACAACCTTTTATTTTCCATGCTAAAATTAAGCTTAGTGTTTTAATATTATTGTTACATTAATATAGTTGATACCTCCTCTTAGGGCCGTACATACATAAATAAGAAGCCCCAACGCCAGCTTAACCTATAATGAGACATGCATTGTTCTCAGGAAATGTCATTAAACAAAAGAATATATTTCACTTTAGACTAAGACCAGAGGCTTTGCTTAGTTCACTTCAAACTTTCAATTTTTCCGTTACATCAATTGCGAGATGAATCTTTTGATTACGCCATGATTTAACAATGTGGTACTACAGTAAACATTTGCTAATAACGGATTAATTAGACCTAATAGATTCGTATCGTAGTTTACATGCGGAATATATAATTTGTTTTATTATTAGTATATGTTTAATACTTTAAATGTGTGTCCGTATACTTCATAAAAAATTTGAAAAGTACTTAACTAAACACGACCAGAGTTCCATAAGAAACTACAATAACTGGCTATAAACCTTTCATATCAACTAGAAGCTACAATAACTGGTTATAAACCTTTCATATCAACTATAGCAGTGACGTGGAGGTGAGAGAAAGCACCATTGAGCAGAGTTCCATATTATCGCCAGCGCTTTGTGTGCTCCTATGCAGATGAGCAACTCACTGCCAATCAAGTCAGGAGAGATAATATAATGTGACAAAAAAGTATTTTTAAAGAACAATGCATAGATCGAGTAGTTTATAAATTATATTTAAACAATAGTTTTTGCTGTTGTGTTTGTTTTAGAGTAAGCAGTTAGCTCTAAGAGCATCTCCAATAGCCTCTCCATTTCACTCTCTAAGCCAAAATTTAACCATTCTAGCCAAAAGAAACGTCCTCCAACATTCTCTCCAACCGAATGGCTAAGAGCATCTCCAACAGTCTCTCCAAATCTCACTCTCCAAATGTCTATTTGGCCAACTCTCTATCTAATTTGTCAAGTTAAATTCGTTGTTTACTCCAACATCCTCTCCATTCACCCCCACTACTAGAATCCTAAGATTTGCCAAGCGTCCAAGCAAAAAATCCTACAGACCGTCAGGAAGATTTAGGTGGCCGACCATTTGAAATTTTAATGAGGATAGTTACGAGAACATTCGGCTATTTAGCATGTGGCTGACGGGATATATCAGTGAGTGAGAGTTATAAGATACCACTCGGAAATGGTTATAAGTGGCCGACAGGGTATATTAGTAACCGAGGGGTTTAATTTAACTCTCGGAAATTATTATTAGTGGCCGACGGGGTATATTAATAACCGAGGGGTTTAATTTAACTCTCGGAAATTATTATTAGTGGCCGACAGGGTATATTAGTAACCGAGGGGTTTAATCTAACTCTCGGAAATGATTACTAGTGGCCGATGGGGTATATTAGTAACCGAGGGGTTTAATATAACTCTCGGAAATTATTATTAGTGACCGACGGGGTATATTAGTAACCGAGGGGTATATTAATGGACTCTCTAGTCTTTACCATATTAACCACATAGTTGTTATCTTCAATTTGATTGGTTTCATATATAAGACATCTTGTGCTTAGCATCAAAGATAGTATATATGCTTATCCATCTTATTCTCATATATCCTCTTCGTGCGAGTTATTCTCATAGTCAATTTTCTCCTTTTTCATTTCATTCTTCTCGGCCCCCTGCCCAGTGTATGTACCCGCTTCATGGCACCTTTGTAGTTGCGACCCAATCTCATAAATTATTATCTCGTTTCTTTACAAATGCAATGGTATAAGATTATTTTTCACATGATTAAACCATGCATGCTCATGTATGTTTGCATTAAAAGAGTTTATAACTTTGACCAGATAAGTAGTTTATGAAACGGCATGCATATACGTCAAATTGAAGAGAACATTATTCAATAGTATTAAAATTGTGCCAAAAAAAATCAACAGCATAAAAATGTGGCCATATTTTATTAATATTATCTACTATTTTGTAAGCATGATGTAATATATACAATCCAAAATTTTAAAAAATATATGTCAAATCTTGGGTTTGAACTCAAGACCTCCAACACATAAATAATGGTTCCAAACCATCTAAGCTCAGCCTTGTACAATGAACAAAGAGGCACCAAAATATTAAAGAACGCGTTAGCGACCTAAAAATTTCCAATTCGCAGAGTGTGGCCGACAGTTTCCTTTTTCGCGACCACTTCCGATCTCCTAAAATAATACGCGCGCAAATTAGCCGCCCACGCGATAAGTATATACTCCTACTCTTGCGTCTTTTCTCCTTCGAAATAGTTGGAAGCAAAACTGATTCATTAGATTGAATCTGTGAATTCCCTTCCTCTCCGTACGTCATCGCTGGTTCCTCTCCTCTCCCCACCGGCGGAATTTGTTCGCCGGGCACACGCGAGGGCACCACTCCACGTCAAGGTATGGTCATCTCTCCCTCCCTCAAAGTTTTCTTCCTGCAATGGCCTTATTCTCTACATTAATCTGATTTTCGATTTTTGTTGAGTGCATTTTTCTAGCAACGATCTGTAGTGGATGAACAACTATGTGTTAAATTCAGATAATTAGCAAAGATCTGTAGTGGATGCTGTTGTCCTGTGGCCTCTGCCCTTCGCCTAGGTGGCCCAGTGCTTGCTCTATCCTAAAAATTCTGAATTTACTCCTCTTCTCAAATCTCCCAATCCACTTCCCCCTTTTATCTAGGGATATAGCGAACTTCCTCTTCACTTCACAGTATCCCCATATTACTTGCACACTGGCTGGCACACTGTAGAATTCTTCAAGACATGTACTTTTTTTTCATTTAGTTTACTTCCCTTGCAGATTGTCCATTTTTTTTCTGTTCGGAATCTATACACTGTCATTCTTCGCTGCACAATCATGCCCATGGCTGTTGAATCTAGAAAACTCCCATATATACTTATTTTTTAACTTCTGGATTAATATAGTATATAAAATTTTGAATGACACTCTCAGGCAACCTGCTAATGGAGGAGGATGATCGTCCTAGAATAGTCCCAGCTGGCGAGTAAGTTTTAAATAAATTTCATTTTGACTTCTTCAAGTGTATGCTTAACAAAAAGCTTTATTTGTGGATATACTAATAATTTACTTTTCTGTTTGTAGCGCTTTTGAAGTGTATCCTCATATCTCATCTCGTAGACCATCGACAGTGCAAGGTGCACTGTTGCATAGGTTCTATCCTGGTGCTATTGGTCTCCCAGAATGCAGGACACCTGCACTTACTTGGAGGGACTACAAGAGGTCTACAAATGAAAGAATGATGTCACCAGCTGACCGAGTTCTTAAAGGATTTTGGGTAAGATTTCCTCAGATTTGTGATAGTCTCAACAGTGTGGAAAAATAATATTATTCTTGCTTGATTTGGCAGTATTGTTTTAAATGTGATCCCACTGACAAAGTGGAAGCTGATAAAGTCTTGGAGCAAAATTTCAAGAAGAATGTGCCACAAATGTTGTTCGAAGAGAAGAAAAGAGCTACTAATAAGTTATATAAAAAATGCAAAGTACCAGCAGAGGATGTTGATGAGGATGGTAACCATTGGCCTACTGTGCAAGCTTTGGTTTCTGCTAAACCAAATGATTTTTCAGTTACTGAAGAGGGTTGGCATTTACTTTGTGAGCACTGGAGTACACCTGAATTTAGGAAGAAATCTTTATATAGGAAGAGAAACAGGTTTGCTGGAGGTGATACTGTATACCAATGCGGCGGGTCGCGAGGCTTGGTTGCCACGAAGCAGTCCCTAGTACTTTGTTAATTTGTAGCAATCCATAGAGCTTGTTCCTATATAAAAAAGTTGCATATACTAATTTATTTGTAATGTAGCAACATAAAAAAGGTGGGCAACAAGGACTTGCTGCTGCTTGGCAGCACACACACAGAATGCAACAAGGAAATAATGAACAGCTATGCAACCAGAGGGCAGAAGAAGCTTGGGTAAGCTCTGTAATTTTACTTTTTAAAGACTGCTGCTTAATTATGAGAGCCAAATCCTCGGCAATGTTGAACCTCTAATGATAAATTACTAGCTTAAGTTTGGACTTAGACATAGATGCTACTTGCCTCCTAGATTTGGAAATTTTCATCAGGAACTCCCCCATGTGTGCCAATTTAGAAACCCTCCAAAATAAGTTTCTTTCAAAGTATTCTTGTGATAGCGAATACAAGTTTGCTCTAGTGCAGTACCTAACATTATCTAAATAAAGTGCAATACCTAATGTGTAAGATACAATCATATATGCAGAGTGATTTTGATCAAGAGGGAGGAAATCAGATTGATGATGATGAAGGCAATGATTTTGATCTTGAGGAAGGAAATGAGATTCCTGAAGAATAGGGCAATAGAAGATGGACCACCCTTGTAGTTTAGAGATTTTTCTTCTCAATCTATCTTATTTTAAATGTTACAGACTTGTTTCAATTAAAGTCTTTCATGCAAGACATGTCATGAATTACTTAGTTTTGCTATGGTGATGGATGATAAATATTTTGAACAATTTGGTTATTTATATCTATGGTTGAACTTCCCGTGGATCTGTTTATAGATTAATTAAGCTGAAATTTGTTATGATGTGACTATGTGCAGTAAGTT